GGGGAGACGTGTTTTCATGCATGGTCTTGAATTCATAAAAAATAAAAATGCAATATGAAGGGCTGGTACAGTGGAGAAAGACTTGTTAATATTGTCTCATTATTTTGTTTTCAGTACAGTGGGCTGCTTGCAAGACAGAGCTGGGATATGTGGCATCCAACACTGGTTGCAGAGGCCCTGTTTGCTATTGCAAATATTTTTAGTTCTTTGCGCCTAATCTCATTATTCACTGCAAATTCTCACTTGGGACCACTGCAGATCTCTCTTGGAAGAATGCTGCTAGATATTTTAAAATTTCTGTTCATCTACTGTCTTGTACTGCTAGCTTTTGCAAATGGACTTAACCAGCTATATTTTTATTATGAAACCAATGAACCTGATCGCTGCAAAGGGATACGCTGTGAAAATCAAAATAATGCATTTTCAACGTAAGTCAGACTTAAATAAAAACTTATTTTACAGCATTTTTAAAATTGCATAATATTTTATCTGTAATCCTTTTTTTCTTTCTCAGAACTGCAGTGATAGAGAATCTTCATGAAAAGTTAGCATGATACAGTATTTTTAAAGTTTTGATCCTAACAATTATTTTGCAATATTAATAATATAAATTGAAATACATCAAAATATATGGAGGCTAAAGTTATATAGGTCATGGTCTGAATAATACAGACATTCTGAAATGTCATTGATGCTGATGAATGAGACCACTTTTGGATACAACAATCTTATCAAAGGAACAGGCATTACTGTTATGAAAGTGATATTCATTCCACTTGTGGGCAATGGAAAGGAAGTGCTATGATTAATTAAATTGGTTCCAGTTCATGGATGTTACAGTCATTACTTATATGCTATTACCTTAGCTTTAATTTTGCTATGGCCTCAAAAGTCATGGTTATGGCATTTTTCATAATAATGCTAAAAATGATTTTGATGTTATCACATTGATTCAAAAACTAAAGTTATCCTGACTACAAGATAGTACTATAAACTAATATTTACAAGTCCTATGTTAAAACTAAACAATTTATTTATTATTAATAAATGTTAAGAGCTGAAGTTACTGAACTTTATACTTTACAGTGCTCTAAGTTTAGATTTAGATTTCTGCTGCTAAGGGGATCTATTTACCACTCCAGAATCAGCTTTGTACTACTGTTTGTACCACCATTGTTTCCATCCAGCAGCTAAGCCAATTTATTTCTGGTTCCACTGAGGTGTATTTAGAATCATAAAAAAAGCAATCTTTCTATTTGTACAGTAATGCTAAATTGATAAAAAGTTTCTAAGCAGATACTTTTTTCATTGCTCACATTGCCTCATGGCTTTTTGATTCTGGCAACCACTGTCCCCTCTAAGTTTCATCATCCTGTCTTTTTACCATCATAGCCTGCAAAAGGTTTTCAAATTCAAACAGAGCAACAGCATCCTTCCAGTCAGAAAGTTTAGCCTCATAGCAAAATATTTTGCAAACAACCAAATAGATATGTTTTTTGAAAATGTAGCTAGGAAGGATACTAGTCATGCATTTACATAAGAATATAAGAGTAGCAAGATCCTTCTGGAGCCCTTCACAATTACTTTTCATTTTACCATCCTAAATTGCTGAATAACATCAACAAACGTATTGTTGTTGTTTAGTCGTTAAGTCGTGTCCAACTCTTCGTGACCCCATGAACCATATTG